ATGTTGTCAATTAATAATAGTTTTGGAGGGAAAAAATTATTATAAGAAATTAAAAAGTTTCCACGTGGATAGTGATGAAATCAGCGGTAATTACTTTAGTATTCCGTATTAGTTACTAGATCAACTCCCGTGCGAATGGTGCGATGCACGGATATAATAAAAGAATTTATAATTGTGCACATTTTCAAGTCATATTATCACTTAAAATATGTAAATCTTTGTATTAACATAAACCAAACTACAAAAATTAAAATAAATATAAACAAAAGAAAATTCATGTCTACTACAAAATCTAGTGGACTTTGTAATTAGACGGAGTAATCACAAATTTACAGCCACACATTGGCTAATATTTGCTTTCCTTAAGATTAGCTATATGTACTGTATAAAGTACTTTGCAGTCAATATTTATCTTTTCTAAACAAAAAAATTGGAAGAGGAAAACATTAAAGGAGAAGCTGACACGTGTACAATTTGGGAAAAGTGATGATGTCAGCGATTATTATTTTAGTATTAGTTTTAGATTATTTTTTTTTTTTTTTTTTTTTGGATTAACAGTTTTAATGTGGTTAATTTCATATGTAAAATTGAATTTTAGATTAAATTTTATTTATTATAATATAAAATTGAAAAGTACGAGGTTTTAATAAATCATTTTAATAAGAGGGTCTGCACACTTCTCAGTAATAAATGAAATATTCATAAAATAAATTATAGGCTGGAAATATACAATATAAAGTCTAATCTCTACACCATGCATAACACATTACTTTTGATTATTTTTAATCAAGTTATTCATTAATGTTGCTACTACAAAATACGGGGTATTATTTTACTTGCCTTACCATTCATTCATATTAGTTAATCAATTTCTACTAGAAAAATTTATTTTTAATCTCTGCTTATTCTCTTGTGGTGGATCTCACACTCACCCGTTAGGTTGTTACTACTACCCATTTTCATCTCTACTTTTTTTTTTTTTTTTTACTTCCATAGACATATGCGCAAATGAAATGAAACAATTAAATTGTGATTATCGAGTATCATGTTATGTAAAATGTGAATGCCAAAAATCACCAAACAAAAGGTCAAAAGTTCAAAACGAATTTATGCGATTCTAAAATAAGAAGGGATTAGATGATTTAAAGTCATCACTTCACATTGTGCATGGATCTAAATGGTGACTTAATGAAGACATAATTATATGTTCTGCTAACTACTCCTAATTAATTATATTAATATTCATTAAGGAGAATTTAGATGATGGATCTCTCTCACCCGCTAAATTAGTAATCAATTAATCATCGTCACATTTTGCATAATGTACGGTGGACAATTAATTTTTCCTCAATATTGCATAATTAATTGGATTAGCTTAATATTTTTCCCTAATTCGAAAACAAAAATACAAATTTTATACACACCTATACTTTGATGACTTTTTTTTATTTAGTAGCCAAAAAATAGAAAGAAAAAAAGTAGTTGGACCCATTTTAGGACTCTAGGTAAAGTTAGTTGGGCATTTTACACTTAGTTTTTTTACATTGATGGTAGGAACGAATATTGTGATGAAGAACATGAGTTTACGGTTAGTGTGTTAACTTATACTTTATAACTTTGAGAGTGAAGGATTAGCTCAAGTGGTTAAAGCTCCACTTCCGGTTCTAGGAGATCTTGAGATCGATTCTCATCACTCGTGCTTGTGGCTCTCCAAACTTTATCTTTTCGAAAATAATAATGGCTACATTGTTTCAATTCTTTGTTAGATAATCGTATAGCATGATTAAGTATATGAATTAATTTTAATTATTAAAGGTGCTTTATGATAATAACTGGACCACGTAATTTAAAAGGTAGAGGTTTTTGCATATGGCATTACATGCAAACTCCGATCCCTAAATAACGACACTATTTTGATTGGTCCATACTCATAATCTTGCAATTAATAATTAACATGCAACAACATTCACTATAGACTACGACTTACAGATTGAGCGAGGTTATCTGAATCAATAACTACATTAGTCGTTAATGACAATAACCAATACCATTTTGAAGGTATTTAGTATATGACTTCTTTTTAGTACGTTTATACCACTTGTTGATACATATAATTATAAACTTGTAACAATATGAAGTCTAAAAATACCAACAACGAGTACCACCTTCAGAATGGTAACTGTTATTGTCATTGATGACTATAGCAGTTATTGACAGAGTCTAAACATTCATATAAAAGATCTTAGCGGGAATTGATGACTATAGCAGTTATTGACAGAGACTAAACATTCATATAAAAGATCTTAGCAGGAATCAAGGACACTATTATATGTTTATTGTAGGGGATGCAATTTTTCAATCGAATGAGAAATTAATTAAATTGAGTCTCTTCCTTGTGTTGTGACGCATCTTAGTAAATAATCATGATGATAACATTTTCCACAAAATATGTCTAGGGTCCTACAAGTTTAATAGTTTTAATTAATTGACAATTTAAATAATATCTACCATGAAAAATGACATTTAACTATATTCCCAAAAGGAGGGTAACATAACCTAAACCATTGACAACCTAGCCATTTATCTTTAACAGCCATTAATCAGGATAAGAGTATGCTTTATTGGTCGTTTAAGATTTACGAAGTCACACTCTATCAAAGTCATATTCTAGCATCATACAAGCATAAAACAACTGTTGTTCAACTTTACCGCTTTATTAGTGGTGTTTCATACACAATTATGGAATGTAACTTGGATTTTCTTGATGCTAAATGAAGATCTATAAAAATTTCGTTATTATTAGGTGACACAAAGCCAAAAAATAAAAACGTTTTATAAACCAATTAAACGTTTCTTATAATAAGATTACGTCAGAATAATGGATCAATTCGAGAGATTGCATCATTGACAAACCGAACTCAACCAATACAGAGTCTTTATAAGCACTCCGAATATAACACCAACAAAAGAGTGCATCGCTATCATAATTTTATATATTTAAGACTACTAACATTATTTATGAAGTATTCCGTATATTATACTTATTTAAAAATAAAAACCTTATTGGATGATGTGCGGGCGATAGGTAGAGGCTAGCTTGGACACTTCTTTTCCTATGGCTCATATCAACGGTGGTTTTATTTTGCGAATTAAGACTAATTTTGTTCTTCTAAATTCCCACGAGGCAAATTTAAAAATCATAAGCTGGAGCATTCATTTTGCACAATCCCTTAATTAGAAACAACGTGACATTAATTAATTTAATTTAAATAAGTGTATTAACATGAACCAACAAGAAATATGTGACACACATAATAACACAACAGTAACAATTATTTTGCACCAAATAAAACAATAGTATAACTAGGATTATCAGGGACTATGAAGTACTATAGTAGTACTAATACTGCGGATTCAAATCTTTATCGCAATATTGAAAAGAAAAGAAAAGGTAGTCATCTAATTTTGTTATTTACTTTAATTTAATGTTTATCAACTTTTATTGGTTGAACAACTTTAATTTATTTACATCGTACTTGCGTAAAATTTTGTAGCCTCAAGTTAGATATTAAACTCGTGGACTCATAATAAAAGTAATTAAGTAAATACAAGAAAGCTTTATACTTGATTCCGTGACTCATGTCTCTTCAAAGGTCACTTGTGATTTGTGACCAAATAAGTGACAAATATTATCTAGTTTAGTGGTAAATGGTAAGTATTGTATCTTATAGCCATGACATCAATTTCCATTAAATTGTTAACTTAAGGGTAGAGATCAAACCTTCCCCCTCCTCCCTTGTCTTAAGAAACCTTTGTCGTTAAGTTGAGTTGAATTAACCAGTGTGATATTTCAGTTGAGTAATTTGTATCATCAGCAATTGATTTAAGTATTACGTATAATTTTTTTTAGGCTTTTAAGTATATTGAGCTCTCTTAAATGATATCAAAGCCCTAGAAGAGTGTTAATTAGAGAGTCTAAGACAACTAACCTATAATTAGCAGAAAAAGTTACCTCTCCTAATTGACTTTAAAAACAAAACCTTATTCAGATAAAGTGTTTTAAACTCTACTCCGATTAGGGCTGGCAAACCCTGACCCGACACGAAAACCCGACCCGAACCCGACTCGAAGTTACTGAGAGAGACCCGAACCCGACCTGAACCGAACCCGAACAACCCGAATTCGACCCGATTTGACCCAAATTTCATATTTCGTAATAATATTAAGTTTTACACTATTTTTAATAGTTTCTAAGCATAACCCGAAATCGACCCGAAATCTAACCCGAACCCGACCTGCTGACCCGAATTGCCACCCCTAACTCCGATAATAGGTACGGCTCAAACCCAATCTACAAAAGCTGAATTTGACACCTACCACTCCTATGAGTAGTGCAAACAAAACGTCCTTTTGCTCTCTTCATTTATAATTACTTTACAATTGGGTCCCTCCACTACTTTGGAACTATGGTGCAGCACTGAACTTAGGTTTATACAGCCTCAACAATTTAATAGGGGCAGGTAGAACATTTAGTGCAACAAAGTACACTACGTAATTTTTTTATTTATTGTTTATTTATTTTTGCCCTCCTCATATTATACTCCACAATTTACTCTCTTTTTCTAAAAGATTATCTCATATGCTGTTTTTAAATGTTCGTACAAGATTACTCATTACTTTAATAGATAAACTAATTCCATTAATAACCTCATTTGAGTGTTATGCCCACCCATATGCACAAATTCGGACCTACTTTCAATAAAAAGAGTAAAATAAAAATTCAGAGTATTCTTTTAGAAACGGAAGGAGTAATGTAAGTCCACCGACAAGACGACAACTCACATGATCACATCCATATAACATGTCCTACACTATACTTTTCCTATTTTCTAACAATACTAGTCTTCTATTGGTCTCTCTAATTAAGGGTATAATTACTATTTTATCCATCGTACGGCTATAATTGGGTGTGGTAGGACTACTATAGCAGTAATATATTTGTGCAACAACTCACTGGGCAAAATATCAATTTATACTTGTTGCCTCTGTCTGTTTTGCCTAGGCAGAGAGATTTAGGAGAGAGAAAGACTGATAATTAGATTATTCATCATATAATGGTACTTCCTTCTAAGAAGTTCAGAGGCGTCAGGCAACGCCAGTGGGGCTCTTGGGTTTCAGAGATCCGCCATCCTTTATTGTAAGTCTGTCATAAACTATTTATTCTCGTTTTTTTCGTATCATTTTTCATGCAACCCGTCATTCCGTGTTTAAAGTAGTCGCAAATGCTAGTCACTATTCTGGTACATTATTGTATATATATTGTTTCGGACGAAAACAATCGAATCTCGGAAGATCCTTTTATCTTGAGGGAACTTGGTCTCGGTCCGAACGACGCCGGAGCCGAGGGTTTCCTGCACAACAAATACACGTAAACTAGCCTCGGGGGGGACGCCGAGGAAGGCCCCTCCGATGCTTAAGTCAGTATATTAGAGAGAGAAAGCTGTGCAAGAGTTTAGTTGCTTGAGGCTTTTTTTGTCTTACCAAGAATTGACCAAATTGTTGGCTTTTATACCTTGGCTAATGAAGGAGGCGGATTGGGCCCGGAAGTCAGTTGGGCTGGGCCAAGCTGATTGGGCCGTTGACTGACCTTGACATGGCTTTGAGGATGTTGATTTTTGACTTTAGCACATTTGGAGAGTTGAACCTTAACCTTGGGCTTTTAATTGGATCATTCAGTGACCAGGCCCAATTGGACTAAATTGGACCCAAACAACTTGCCCCCCAGACCCGATTTGGAAGGATGACGGGTCGGGTTTGATTTAATCAGAAAAGGAGGGAAGTGAATGATTTGTTAATCCAAAAATGTGAATTTAAACCGTAATTAACCCATGATTAATGAGATAACAACAGTTAATGTGGATGATTGCGGAAGTTGGATGGGTAGTGGGCGACTTAACTGCAAGGTCGTGTGTTTAACGGTTACTTAGTGGGGTGCTTGAGAGAAATTGAAACGCAGACTCCTTGAATTCCCATTTCTGGAGATATAAATAGAGGCGCGTCTTCTCTCCCCACTCACTCATCAACACAAACCCAGAATTCTCAAGAACGCTCAAGAGCCCGCATCAAAACTTCGCAAATTCCCCGAGCATTAAGCTTAGAAGCTGAGACTTGTCACTACCAATTCGTAAATCGGCGGCTTTTGCTTCAGATCAAGGTAAATTCCTTTGATTTTATTTCATCTTTCTTCGACTTTGCACTCTTTCCCCTTTTTCGACTTTTTCCTTCGAAATTCGTCAATGGTGAGGGGAGTTAGAGGTGGAGCCCGTGCTCCAAGAAGAGCAAGGCTAATCCCCGATCCCAGGGTCAGGATTGGGACCTGGAATGGACGAAGGACAGAGTCTGACCCTGCTGAAGGGGTTAGGGCGACTCCCATTTCTTCGGCTCCTCCTCAGAGGGCTGAGGGGGTGAGAGCTTCAGGACGGGATGATGAAGTTCCCGCTGTCCTTTGGGATATCCTCCCAGGGTTTTCAGAGTGGGAGGATGCCGAAGTAGCTTCGGCCATGATAAAGAACCGTCCCTACTCATGGTGGGTAGAGAACGCCGATCAATATCGATTTGCTGAGCAAATTGAGTTGCACTACGGCATTTTTGAAGCTGATGGATATTGGTGCCGAATGCCCTCAGCATCCGATAGAATCCATCGTCCACCCCCGGGGTATGTGGGGGTGTACACGAGACAGCTTCAGTATGGGCTGAGGTTCCCTTTGGACGTATTCGTTCGAGACTTGCTGATCCATTACAACATTTCCCTGTGCCAGCTGACCCCCACCAGCATCCGAAGGGTAATGACGTACTTATGGGTCTGCAAATTCTTCAGATACGTGCCGAACCTGCACTGCTTCAGAAAGCTCCATCGGCTAGTGCCAAATATTCAGAGTGGGCACGGAAGCCATGGTTCTGGGTGGTATCGGATTGAGTCTCGGCCCCCGTTCCTAACCATGTGGCCGAACGACTCTTCAGACAAGGACTGGAGAGGTCAATGGATTTGGGTTAGGGCGCCCACGGAGCCGAGCCATCCTTATGTTTTCAGCGCTCCCCGGTATCTTGCCGAGCCGGATCCTGATATGGGAAGTTTAGGTCCTCCCGAAGATAGCGGGCCAGACCCGAACCTTAATCAGCAGAACATCTTCGGCAAGCTGCCGAACCGGGGAGGCAGCGGCCGAATGCAGCATATCCCGGAGACTTGGCTCCCCGATACGCACTATGTTTTCCAAGAGAATATGCTGGCAGCTGTCGGCCTCAGCCGAAAGTTTAGGGATGGTAATCTTCTTCGGCTGGGGCCGAGGCCTTTTAATTATCTCTTTTCTTCTTTCATTTTGCTTTCTTGTGATGTGCCGAACTAACTGAATTGACTTCTCCCCTTTTCTTTTTCAGAACGGGACGAGACCAACGTCGGCATTGATTACGCTCGCCTTGGCGTCAACCGAGAACGAGTCGTAACTGATCGGGCTCCCCCTATCACTGAACCAAGGCGCCGAGAAGTTCACCTAGACTCTTCCCACTTCCAAATTGAGGCTGTTGCTCTGTATCAGAGGCAGAAGCCCTGGTGGGAGAAGAGGGATCCCTTGTTTCAGCTGCTGGAAGAAGAAGCTGAAGCTGCCCGCACAGCCGAAGAGGTTGCACGGGTACTTGAGGCTTGTGAAGGAGGAGAAGGGTCCTCCAGAGCTGCTGAAGCCGAAGCTGCAGCTAGAGCAGCTGAAGAAGACGAGGCTTTGCTGAAGACCTCGGTGAGTTTTTAGACAACTTTTTTCTTTTTTTTTTTTTTTTTTTTACTCACACCCTTCTTCCCCCCTGTCTGTTACAGTCTGAAGAGAGTAACAGACACAGAGAAGGCAAAGCTCCTGTTCGTCCCGAAGATCAAATACAAGAGTCTTCAGATTCAGATATGGACGAGCAGCCCCTTCTGAAAAGGCGCCGAAGGATGGCCATCATCGGCCCTCATGATTTTCAGCAGAGGCCGATGACCATCGGCGTCGCAATAAGGGAACCTGAGGAAGGCAATGGATCGCCGAGGGTTCCCCAGCCAACACCCCAATCTCCTCAAAAGACCCCTCCACCACCTCCTGAGATGGAGGTGGATCAGAGAACTCCCGGACCTAAGGGAGGGGTCCAAGAAGAAATCAAGGAGAGTGCTGCTGAGCACGAAAATAAAGATGCCGTGATGTCAAGTGCTGAAGGCTTCACGGCAGATATCGCAAGAGAGGTTGAGGCTTTCGTCCTCACCCCTGAAGAAGAGGAGGTCATAGTACTTGACTCCTCTGAGAAGGACGATGCTGAGACAACCAAAGCTAATCAAGCTCCATCGTCGTCCTTCCCTTCTTTCCAGACTCTGCATTCTGGAGAAATGGGTTTCTCGGCCCCCCGAATTCCAATCCCAGATCACATCTGGGACCTCATATGGGGTCAAAACCGAGAAGGAGCTGAAGCCTACTTCGGCAGTTTTGCTGGCATGTCCGAAGTAGACAGGGCAAGGATCTGGTCGCTGAAGGCCACTGCTGGGATGGGCGAATCCAGTAGATCAGTTCCTGACCCAGCCAGGTCTAACCAACTGCTGATGATGCAGGTAATTTTCCTTCATTTCCTCCGAAATTCAGCTCTATTTTTTTTTACTTATTTTTTGTCTTCCTGTTTTCAGTTCGTGCACAATCAGACTCTCACTGTTGAGCTGATTGATACCCTACAAGATAGGGTAGACGCTGCTGTGCACGAAAGGAAGGTGGCTGAAGAGGAAGTTAAGCTTGCTAAGCTGAAGCAAGCAGCAGCTGAAGAGAAGCAGCAGGAGGTTGAGGAGTACGGTAAAAAAGCTGCCGAAGCTCTGAAAACCTTCTGCGATGCTATGGAGATGGAGGTTTTTCCCCCACTGATGGAAGGGGAAAAATTCCTCCAGGAGCATATGGGAGTGGACGTCTCCAAATTCAAGGCTGCTGTTGAGAGCCGAATTCAAGAAGGAACTGCTGCACAAGCTGAAGTGCAGCAGCGTCTAGAGGCTCTTGAAGCCAGCCGAATGGCTGCTGAAGAGTTGCTCTTGGCCAAAGACGTCCAACTCTCAGAGGCTGCTGCTGCTGCTGAAGCTCAAAGAGCTAAGCTACAAGAGGCTGAGGATCAGCTCACTGCCAAGAAGGAAGAAATGGTCCAAGTTCAGGCCGAGGCTTCCCGGGTTCAGCAAGAGTTTACCGAGCTGAAAGGCTCCTCCTCCAAGCTCGTCGATGAGCTGAAGAGATCCGAGGAAGACTTGGAGGAGACGAAGAAGAAGTTGGCCGATGCTGAGGCTCTACTCAAAGTCCGTATCTATACCCAAGAAGAGTATGAAATGGGTTTTAGAAACGGGTTCAGAGTGTGCCGAAGGGTCTGCCTTCATGCTGAGCCGAAGCTGGACTGGTCCAAATGTGCTGAATGGGTCCAAGATCCCGAAGACCCTCACATGAAGTATGCCACTCCAATCGAAGCTGAAATCCTTAAGGCTGAGGAAGCCGAGGAAGAAGCTGAGAGGATGGAGTTGGAGGCTGAGCAGCGGGAAAGGGAGGCTCGGCAAAATGCAAAGCCCGCCTCTTCTGCTGCTGGGGCTGAGGCCACCATGGGACTCAACGCTGATCAGTCTGATCCCCCGGCTGAAGCATAGGAACTCGGGCAGTCGTCTTCAGAATCTTGCGGTTCATCATGTGCTTAACTTTAGACTCGCCGCTTTCTGAGTTTTTTGCCTTGTTTTTTGCTTCAGCTTGCCTTGTCGTACAGCAGTTTTATTTTTTGCTTATGTACGTATTTCGGCAGCTGTTACTTTCCGCTTGTGGGCGGCTGCCGACTATTTTTGTAATTCAACATTTTTATTTCAAAGAAGTTCACTTTCTCAGCTTTCTTGTGTATTTTTTTTTTCTTCGCTTTACCAGTCTTCGCACTTTACTGCTTTCTTTGAATGATCTTTCAAATATTTGCTAAGTGCAGAACTTCGGCTAGCGAGAATCATTTCTGCTGAGACTTCTTTTTGCCGTTTGTACTCGGATGTTTTCAACTTGTGAAAAAACTGACATAAGTATCAAACTTCGGCTGAGCTGAAGGGTATTAGATCAGTTGTGCCATTTCTCTATTTCCCTCTGCCCCCCCAGAAATCTGAAGATGAGGTCTTCTGAATTCTGGAATGGC